TAGTACGTTTCCACATTTTACAATATTTATATAGTTTGTATACATTAACCATATATCCTTTCCAAGTCAACAAAAATTGCCGATTTGTTCCGTTTTCATCACACAATATATATATTTTTTTTTTGCAAGCATAATAATTCTTAGCACAAAATAATAATTTTCTAATGTATTTTATCTTGTTGAATTGATTACGGTGTTGCTAAAAAAAACAAAAAAGCATTGATTACGGGTGAATAAAAGTATGGTAATCAACGGTTGACATGCGATGGCGGTGGAAACAGGATGATGCATCTTACGCCACGTGTAAAGAAATTTCAGGGTATTTTCGTAATTTAATTAACATCCATGTCGTAACAATCAAAAGCCTTCTCTAGCCTATAAATACCGGAGCCTACCTTCTTCCCATGTTGTAAGAAAATTTGGGACCCAGAAAACCCCTCTTTAGCGAGAGAAATCACAGAGAAAAAAAGTAGCGAAAGAGAAGAAGAAGAGATATTCTCTTGAATCTGCAGATTTTCTCTCGCATTTTTTCCCGAGAAAATTTTACCCACTTGCTGATTGGATATTGAGAAAATCGTTTTGAGGAGTTTCGATGAGCCGTCTAGGTCACAAATCTGTGGTTTATCACGGAGAGTTGCGTTTAGGGGAACTCGATGTGAATCAAGTATCTTCAGGTCATGAATTTCGATTCCCGAACGATGAAATTCGAATTCACCACATTTCTCCGGCTGGTGAGAGATGTCCTCCGCTCGCGATTCTCCAGACTATTGCTTCTTTTGCCGTTCGATGCAAGCTTGAATCATCGGCTCCGGTCAAACCTCAGGAGTTGATGCACCTACACGCAGTCTGTTTCCACGAATTGAAGGTAAACTTGGTTCGTTATGAGATTTCCGACGCGAAAATGACATTTCGTTGATTTTGGATTTGATTTGTGATTACAGACTGCTGTGGTATTGCTCGGAGAAGAGGAGATTCACTTAGTGGCGATGCCGAGCAAGGAGAAGAAGTTCCCTTGTTTCTGGTGTTTCTCAGTTCCTTTAGGTCTTTATGATTCATGTTTAAGGATGCTTAACACTAGGTGTTTGTCTATTGTGTTTGATCTGGATGAGACACTGATTGTTGCGAATACTATGAAGTCGTTTGAGGATAGAATCGAAGCTCTTAAAGCTTGGATTTCACGAGAGATTGATCCTGCGAGGATAAATGGAATGTCTGCAGAACTTAAAAGGTATATGGATGATAGGATGCTGCTGAAGCAGTATATTGATAATGACTGTGCATTTGATAACGGAATTTTGTTAAAGGCTCAACCTGAGGAGGTCCGCCCGACTTCTGATGGCCTCGAGAAAGTTTATAGACCCGTGATTAGATTGCCGGAGAAGAATACTGTGCTTACTCGAATTAATCCAGAGGTTAGAAGATCTTATCTGTGCTGTGGTTTTGTATACGTATCCATTTCATCTTATCTGATTGATTTGGTTTACCTTTTTTCTGGCATGTGATAGGATAAGGTAGTTTAAGTATTGAGCAATCTAGTTTTAGTTTTTTTGGACCTTATAAGGAAGTTTTTGTCTCTTTTCTGGGGTTATTTCTGATGCAGATCCGTGACACTAGTGTGCTTGTAAAACTGAGACCAGCGTGGGAGGATTTAAGAAGCTATTTGACAGCAAAAACTAGGAAACGTTTTGAGGTTTATGTTTGTACCATGGCTGAAAGGGACTATGCTTTGGAAATGTGGAGACTACTTGATCCAGAAGCACACTTGATAAGTCTCAAGGAGCTTCGAGATCGTATTGTATGCGTTAAATCAGGTCAAAACTATCTCTGTCTTCTTTGATACCCTTGATCTTGGTTTCTTACTGTCTTTGTGGTGAATGGATATATATATATATACTTTGCCTTTTAGCCCTCCTTCTCTCATGCCTAATTTGATTTGCTGACCTCTCAGTTTCGTTATTTAGGGAGTAATGTTATGATGTTTTTACCCAACTTTCTGTCTCTGAAACTCAAACTAACATTTTTTTTTTTAAATTATTTCTTGCTCTTTGCATAGCAGACGCCAAGAAATCGTTGTTAAACGTCTTCAATGGTGGCATTTGCCACCCAAACATGGCAATGGTCATTGATGACCGTATGAAGGTTTGGGAGGACAAGGATCAACCACGGGTTCATGTTGTTCCTGCGTATCTTCCATATTATGCTCCACAGGCAGAGGCATGTTGTAGTTGTAGTTGTGAATTCTGTTTTCGCTTAATTTTTCTTGTGGGTATCTAACCATTTTCTTATGCCCATTTATCAGACATCTGTTATCGTTCCAATTCTTTGCGTAGCAAGAAATGTTGCATGCAATGTCAGAGGTTGCTTTTTCAAGTAAGTTTTGTGTTTTTGTTTTTATGTGTTTTTGAAATGAATTAATGCTGGTTGTTCTTACTGATTAGTGGACATTTATGTCAGGGAATTTGATGAGAGTTTAATGAGTAGTATATCTTTGGTTTACTATGAAGATGCCGTGGAAAATTTACCTCCATCACCGGATGTGGGAAACTATGTCATTGTAGAGGTAACTTTAGTAAGAACTTTATCACGGTTAACGCATTGTACAAAAATTTGGCCCTATCTACACTCTACAATATGTAATCTAGCTATATTTGTCTGCAGGATCCTGGCGCCTCAAATGGAAACATAACTGCTCCTCCAATTATGGAAGGAATGTGTGGTGGTGAAGTGGAACGCAGACTAAACCAAGCGGTCAGTAAAATAATAACAGAAAAATAGATACAAAATTTAGGACTATTTTGTCAGTTGTAATCTTGACTTCTTGTTGACTTTTCAATTTCTGGGGATGAGAAGGCTGCAGCTGATTCTTCTACTCTTCCTGCAACAAGTAACGCTGAGCAGAAACCTGAAACCTCTAAGCCGCAGATTGCAATTATACCAAATAACGCTAGCACGACAACTGCAGCAGCATTGTTACCTTCTCATAGTACGAACTTTTGACTTAATATAACTCTGAAATTTGACCTTGGTACAGTTATTTTGCTTTGTTAAATGTTTTGTCTCTGACATTCTCTATCTTTTGTGTTCAATTGCAATGTAGAACCTAGTTTGCTTGGAGCTCCTAGGCGGGATGGATTCACTTTTTCTGATGGTGGAAGACCCCTTATGATGAGGCCTGGTGTAGATATAAGGAACCAAAACTTTAATAACCCGCCTCTTCTGGCTAGAATTCCTATGCAGCCACCTTCGTCTTCTATGCAATCTCAGGGTGGTTGGTTGGTAGATGACGAGAATAGACCTTCTTTTCCTGGTCGACCTTCAGGTGTTTATTCAAATCAATCTCCTCATGGTATACCAGTTTCTGCTCCTGTCGGTTCATTCTCACACCCATCTCAGTTGAGGAGCGAAGAGGTTAGTTTTGCATTCAAAGTATCTCGCTTACCACATCAAAAGTATGTTGTCTTACGGTCTGAGAGTTATTTCTTGCAGGTGTGTATGGATGATGACCTGAAAAGGCAAAACCCTTCTCGTCAAACAACAGGTATGTTCTAGTTTCAATACTAATGTAATCGACCTGCTACGAAGATGGATAATCGATCGTTGAGTTTCTTGTTTGCTCCAGTGTACCGCTCTAAATCTACGTTATATAATTGACTCAGGATACGATAATTATTGTGTTCCCAAACTGATGTATTGTCTTTTTACTTAATCTGTCATAACTACTTGAAAAATAGACATAACTACTTGATTTTAACGTAGCACTTGTTCAAACTATTTGCAGAAGGTGGAATATCCCAGAATCATTTGGCATCAAACGGTAGAGAACATCATACAGATGTTGGAAAGAGTAATGGTGGGCAACCTCATTTATTTGTGAGCGCGTTGCACGAGATTGGAAGAAGATGCGGTTCAAAGGTACATATTTAACATAACTATGCAAGCTATTGCTTCTTCTCTTTTCATGGGAAATGTGAGAATTATGTGACGATTTTGCAGGTAGAGTTTAGGACTGTGATGAGTACCAACAAAGAGTTGCAGTTTTCTGTTGAGGTCAGCCCGCGTGTGATATTTCCTAGTTTGTTCGTTGCCGAAGTCCCGCTTTTATTGTTAACTTCTTTCTGATTGTTGCTGTGAAATTGACATAGGTTTTGTTCACGGGCGAGAAGATAGGCATTGGGATGGCAAAAACTAAAAAAGATGCTCATCAGCAAGCAGCTGAGAATGCTCTTCGAAGTTTGGCTGGTAAAATATTTCTACTGGGGAATTTTAAGAAGTGTGGATCTATTTTACCACTTGATTTTAGTCTCTAACTAGATTGGTCAAAAATCTTGTTTGTGGTTGCTTTCTGCAGAAAAATATGTTGCACATGTGTCTCCACCTGTATCTGGAGAAGCAGAGAGAGATAGCAGAAACGAAAACGGGTTTTTGTGGGAAAGCAGTGAAACTGTATCAAACCAAGGAGTTGAAGAGGAAGCCACCACCTAAAGACAAACCATTTCTGAGTTGTGATGTTTTCTCGATATTTTGGGGTGATTGGCCTTATTAGCAAACGAAGGATAGATACGTGGGGT